TCTGGAGACAGCCTCACAGACACACCCAGAGGGGTACTTTACTATCTCCTAGGTATTTCTTAATCCAACCAAGTTGGCAATCAAGAGTGACTGTCACAGGCCAGGTGTGAGGTGCTTACCTGAAATCAGAGCACTTGGGATACTGAGACAGGTTCAACCCCATGAATTTAAGATCAGCCTGGGCTACACAGTAAGTTCCAGGCCAGACTAGACTATAGTGTAAGATCTGGATTAACCATCACAGCTATGTTAGAGTGTGGTTCCCATTGGAGACTGTATCTCCTCAACCACAAGCCTCCTCTGCCTCCAGGTCCTCTCTGCCTGCCGCCGCCTCTCCAGTCCCTGTATTCTGTTTTCAAGGTTTTGCTGAAGCTCTTCACCATGTCTCTGTCTCAACCTCTTTCCTCTTTTCATTCCTTCAACCTGTGTTGTTATTTGTGCTGGGGATTTCTTCTTATTGTCCCGTAATAATTGGGTTCAAACTTTTAACATCTTCATTTTCATTTCAAGAGAGTCTGGGAACTAATTTTACAACCCTGTTACTTTCTTAGAACAGTATGTTCACTCATTCTACAACTTCCTTTATGACCTCAATCTTCTATAGCTTATTTCAGATTATCATAACACTGCAGATTTTGTGTTAACTATATTACCTGTTGTATATATGGACTCTTCCTTGCATGGTCTGTGGCCATATTTGTGTTTCCGTTGTGCTTTTGGTTGGTTTGGGTGTCTGTTAATGTTTGTTTGTGTGTGTGCCCACACGTGTGCATGCATGCGTGTGTACACATATGTTCGGTAGGAATTTCTACACACCTGCTAACTGGGATGCCCCTGCTAGTGGGAAGTCACAAGCAATGTTGTTCTTGCCCCCAAAAGACTTCCTCTGGGTTTTTATATAATAACTCTTCAATTTGAGATTCCAATTTTGAGACTCTCGGATGTGTTGGACGACCATTGTCACCTGAATTCAGAATGGATATATGTCTTTGGAAGTTTGTAGATGTTTTCTTGGACTGATGAGTAGAGTTGTTCTTGTTTTCTGCATGGAAAGAATTGCTTTTGAGGCTCCTGGGATTGCTGAGGTGCCTCTGTCTGGCCGTCACCTTTGCAGGGCCACGACAGTGCCTTCTCTGTCACTGTGTGCCCACACCTGGGTGCTACAGCAAATGTCCTGCTTTGGGACGTGCCTGGCAAAGCCCACAGGTTAATCTCTCTAATAATGAGCTTCTTTTCTGCTTCCATCCAACACAAACATCATGTTATCCATAGGAGCACAGGAGCTGGGTGTGATGGAGTCGCTGCCCTCACCCAGCTCTCCATGTGGCCAGACCCAGCGTATCAGAGCTGCAAGTAGAATTGATACTCCCCTTTCTTACTTTTATTTTTATAGTTTCAATAAGTTAAGATACAAAGTAATGGGTTTTATTACGGCATTTTCATACTCCCGTTTCTGTTTGAGACAGGGTACTAACTCTACTGGGAGATGTCTTTGTTAGCTCAGGCTGACCTCAAACTTACTATGCAGCCAAGGATGGCCTTGAACTTTAAGACTGTTTGAGCAGGAATGAAGCCAGGTGCACCCTTAATCTGTGGTCCTGAGCATGTGCACACAAAATCCAAGTTCTGCCTGTTTGTCACTTGACTTAACATGCTACAGGGATAGAAATAAAGTTCCCATGCATAAATTTCAAGCCTCAAAGTGGAATATAACGTGCTTTTATTCAGTGGTATATTTGATAAAATTATCACAATGTGTTCTAAAACCTTAAAGCAACTTGTTTCGTTTTATAATTTCAAAAAAATGCCTAAGTAATAAATCTATAAATCAAAATACTATTAGAAATACTGTCATTCATATTTAATTAGAATAGCCAGGGTTTGATAAGCTTGTTTTTCTATCAGGACTTTATTAAGCAAAACCTGAATATTCTGAATTCTGTCCTCCTGTGATGTGTAGAGAACTGCAAGTAGAATCGATGGTCCCCTTTGTCATTTTTGTTTTTCTGCTTTTAATGAGGTAAGAGACAAGGTGATGGGTTTCATCATGGCATTTTCAGACTCTGTTTCTGCTTGAAATGGGTCTTTGACAGCCTTTCTTAGTGTGCCAGTACTGTATGTGCATAAATCCCTGTTATAGAGAAAAAAGTATTTCGTCTTCATAGAAAGCACTATATCCAGTCAATAGGGTGCAAACACAGTAACGTTTTCATTGACCAGAGCCAGCTCAATGCTGTCACCTGACAGAGTCTGAGCTAGATGAGAGTGATGTTGACTTAGGTATGAGTCTTTGTCCCTCATCGTTTCCTTGAGAGAGCATAGACCTGAGGTTCTGTTATACTGATATCACTAGAAATCGTATTCATTGTGGGATGACACACTTTCTCTCACCCTCTAAGATCCTGTATGTTCTAAGCATTGAGGGTCACCATATTAGGTAATAGACTCAAGGACACTACCAGCCCCCATCCAAGCCCTGCTCTTTGACAAAAGTGTGAAATTGTGAAATTGTGAAATTCATATCTGGTTGCTAGATGCTGGTGGGAGGACACCCTGCACAGCCCAGTCCAATGTGTCTTCTGCACCAGCCAGAGTTAAATGCCTGGCAGCTCCTGGAGCCAGCAGCACTGGTTAAATCTCTCCAGCAGATTCTCAGGCAATTGCCTGGAAAAAGCCATCCCAGGAGTGACACTGAAGCATGGCCCCTTGTCTGTATTGTGGATGTGTGTGCTATAGATATGTATTCTTCACCTTTTACGTCAGAGCCTGGGGCAGAATAGACTGTAGTAAACAGGAAGAGGAAAAAGAAAGTGTTGATTAGTGACATTGTCCAAAGGGAAGTAAAGCAAATCAACAGCCACTGAGATGTTTCAGAGAAACATGTTTCTTCCTTGAAGCAATGAGGAAAGTTAAGGATTGTAAATACTAGCTGGGCATGGTGGCGCGCACCTTTAATCCCAGCACTCGGGAGGCAGAGGCAGGTGGATCCCTGGGAGTTTGAGGCCAGCCTGGTCTCCCTAGTGAATCCAGGCCAGCTGGGGCTATAGGGAGACCCTGTCTCAAAAAAACCAAAAGATCAAAAAAGAAAAAAGAATTGTAAATCTTCTTCTCGGTGCCTCCCTCTGAAAAGGCCAGGGAGGCAGGGACTATTTTGGTCTCCATTTTAAAGATGAAAGAACCAAGACCAGAGAATATCCCACTGTTTGGGTGGTTGAATGCCAGATGGATTTTTACCCTTCTAAAAGCCCCTCAGTAATCTTATTTGATGATTGTGTTAACATTCGACATATCACAATGCTTATGTCAACCTTTTAGGAATAATTTGCAAAGAAATCATGAAAGAAGTAACAGAAATAAAAGTGATGCTTGTTAATGCTGTTTAGGATTATTTCCCATTGGGCTTTATTGCTATCACACTGGGTCTGACAGTAGATCAGTTCAGTAGAAGTGTATGCTTCCAGGATCCACCACCTTGGGCCCGTCTCTATCAGAAGGGTTAGAATTTAGCTCCCTAGAGACTCCCTAGAGATGTCTTCAGATACTGCCTGTCTCGTCAGAGAAAGTCGGATACACACACACACACACACACACACACACACACACACCCCTCCTTGCACATATGACTCACTCTGAGTTACAGTCTTCTGTGCTCTGACCTCTAACCTGGATGGAGGTGAGACTCACAGTGATTCCTCCCTCGAAAGATGCCTCCCTCCCCAGAAAATGAGGTAACAGCAGCTCTGAGACACCATAGAGCAGTGTCCAGTCATGGAGGATAGTGAGGGAACCCCAGCTCCCATTCCTGATGATATTGATTCTTTCTGTAGCATGAGAGCTTCAACAACCGTGCTTCCTGCCACATGAGGTGGAAGCAGGCCAGATCTCCTTCAGTGGAGAGACAGATAAAGAAATGTGCTGCGTGCTTACAATGGGGCTTTACTTTGCTTTGAAAAAGAAGATTCTGTTGTATGCCACAGCGTGATGAACCCTGAAGAATCATGAGCGAAATAAGTCTGTCAAAAGGGCAAACATATGATTCCACATAAGCAAGGTGTTTAGAATGGTCAAAGTCATGAAAACTGGGGGCCAGCAAGATGGCTCAGTGGGTAAAGAGCTGATAACCTGATTTTGATCCCCAGAACCTACACGGTAGACAGAACAATCCTTTGCAAATTGTCATTGACACATGTGCCATTGAAATCATGGAAGCAGAGAGGTGGTTTCCGTGATTGGAAACAGAGGAAATGGACCGTTCTTGCTCAGGGGGTGGGGGGAATACAAAGTTTCCTCATAGCAAAGTCCTAGAGATGCTGTTCAACCTGAGTGAGTGTTGTTGAGGCTGTCAGAGTCCTAGAAATGGTGAAATGACCTAGAGGATAAATTTTACAGCTTGTATTTCTCCATATCATTTAGAGTATTTTTGAGAAATTCATACATGAGTACTATACATACCTCCACCCCTCCCTCTCCCATTTAGAAGGTCTCTGTGTGGGAAAATGACCCACAGATAGGTTGGGGGGAGCCCTAACACACAAGATAGCTCATTTGCAAGTTCAGTCACCAAACTAAGCTTGCTATCTGGGTCCATTCCCATGATCACCTACTATTGCCACAAAGAGGTAGAAGCCTTCTTGATCTGTCTTCCCATAAATCAACTAAATTTATAGTAACTATTTCCATTGAGATCCAGTGCATTTCCCAGCATGCCTTCATTAACTAACTTTTGCCCTCTGCCAAAATTACTTAAAAATCATAATTCCAGGTCTGCTTGATAAGACACACAATCCCATCATACCTTTGTCATAGACACAAATTGTCCTTAATTTGGCAGCCAACATAATTTTAGTAAGGCTGTGACTTGGTCTGGGGCTGCAGGGAGGGCTAGAATCCATATGTTCATGAGCAGTGTTGGTACTTGTGGTTTCAAACATTATCGGTAATACGCTTCAGATAGTTCCCTAACCACAGGCCTATTTCCTTTTCTTTCTCTTTCCCCACAGCAATGCAGCAAAAAGGCCTCAGCCTCTCTCATGTGGCTTTTGAAGTCATCCGGCATCATCGCCAACCGCCCGTGGCCGCGGATCTCGCTCACAATTGTCACCACGACGATCATTCTGACCATGGCTGTGTTCAACATGGTAAGCCGGTGGGGCTGGTCACGGTTCCCATTAGACAGGGCCTTCTTGCATTTGTGGCCTGCCTTGATGCAGTTTTGGAGACTTGTCCATAAATCTAACACCCGTCACTTCCTGCCTGTTGAACCCAGCCTCTTATAGCATCTGTGGCTTGTCTAAGGAAAGGATGCTTTTCCACAGGCCACTATGTGAGAAAGGGGGTTTCGTGGAGTGTTTTCCATGTCATGTCTTGTGGTGACTGCTCAGCAGCTACAGAAATAACAAGGAAGGTCATCAGGACAGCCTGGAGAGATAGCCCCCACGTAAGTGAGCTCATCCAGCCACAATTCCTGGCCCTCCAGGGTAGAAGGCCTGACTGCAAACCCCAGCTCCTCCCTGGGCTGGGCTAGGTGGCAGAAATTTCTATTACATGTCACAGGTTCCATTTCCACTTCTCAGAACTGAGCAACAAGGCTCCACCATGATGGGTCTAAGGAGGAAATAAGTTCATATTCTTACCATGCTTTGGAGATGATTCTGTAAGCAGAGAATCAATGGCCACTGTTTCCTCTTTAATATCATCGCTTACTACCCACACTTAGTCCATCATTGTGCTTGGAAACACATCCCTATTTGTACTCCCAAGTCATCATCATGTTGTTTTTGGATGGGGTAGATAGTGGTTCAAAAGGACGCTGAGACAGATTTCCATGGACTAAAGAGTTTACTAGGAGAGTTATCAATACCACGGACAGACAAAGTGACACACAACAGTCTGTTGGGGCCTCTGGCCCCAGCACCAGAGACAGACAGCACGATGGGATCTCTAAACAGAATCAAAGCCCTGATAGCAGAAAGCAGAGCCTCCTGTACCTCTCTGAGGTGGAGGGGATCTAACAGCAAGAGCCTGCAGCCAGGCCCTCTGATTCCCAGGCAAGAGGCAGGGAAGACGGTGGGGGCACAAAATGAGCATCCCTTCGATGTAAACCCACTTTCCAGGTGAGATGTGGCACAGCAAGTCTGCTAGTTTGGGATTCACAGACGGCATCCCAGTATGGTGCCTATCAGAATCTATGAGCCACAAAGCAGCAGCTAGATTCTAACATTACCTTCTTACCACCATCCTCCTCCTCCTCTTCCTCTTCCTCCTCTTCCTCCCTCCTCCTCCTCCCCCTCCTCCTCGTCTTCTTCTTCCTCCCCCCTCTCCCTCTCCCCACCGTCCTTCATCTCCTCCTCCTCCATAATCCAAAGTTATCTTTGTGCAGAGTGTATTTTAGACTTCACTAGTAGCTGGAAATGTATCATGAGAACAGTCCTTTTTTCTCAGGAGCATACAGCTGGGATGTGGTGATAGAGCATACATAAGGTACTAATAATAGATGATGAAATGGAGCTCTCATTAAGTAGAAAGCACTCATTCTCCCCCCAAAAATTGTTGCACATAAATGTGTGCTTCAGCCATTGTTAGATGCTCAGGCCCAAGACATGCTTGGCTTCCAGGAGTTCACAGTGGAAGATAGGAGGCTGCCAGCTGGGTAAACCCATTAGCAGCTCACCTTAAAACACAGTAGGGGTCTCAGTAAAAGCATAGAGGGGCCAAGGAGAAGGTAGAGTCGGCCTGAGCTCTGAAAGTGAGATGTAAGTGCCAAAAAGATGAGCCGAGAGCAAATAAGAGGTCCGGATGAGAGCAGAAATGTGTGCTGAGTACTAAAAAACAAGACTGAGGAGGTAGATAAACACCCTGCGTGCGGACATCAACACCCCACTGCACAGGGATCACAGAGCTGCTCCCAGACCCCTGGAAATCCAGGAGGCTGAACCCAACAGGAGCCTCGAAGGCCAGTGTCCGCCTGCAGAGGGGGGACGGCTTCTCCATCATCCACTTCAGCCTTCCTAGATTGGATCTTCTAGCCCTCCTGGAAGAGCTGTGCTTGTTTGGCCTCCTCTTCCTCCTCCCAGAGGACTTCTGAAGGCAATGGGCAGAGAGGCATTTGGGGGTCAGCGCCAGGGAACTGCAGAAATTTGAGTGCTTCTTAAAATGGGCTCCTTGTGTTCAGCTTTGTGACCCATATTTATGCATTAGCCCCGCTACCCAGGAGCAAGCTCCTCAGGAGGATACACTGTAGAGAGCTCAAAGCAGCTTGGTGGATTAAATCTGTAAGAGCAGCTGCATCCGAGGTCAAATCCATCATGGAGGGTGGGCAGAGAAACCGCATGGGACAAGGACAGCTCGCTGCTCTAGTTGTGGTTCTGACTTATCTGTGTGGTCACAACGAGTATGTTCAGGAACCGTAAGATGCGATGAGAACAGTGAGGAGCCTCACCCTGCACCTGTGCTCACTTGTGTGGGCAGAGTCAACACATTTCCTGAAAGCTGACCATTCACCAGTTATAAACATTTGACATTTAACAGGACATCAACCTGCCTAGTGAGTTTGGGGCTGGGGCTATAACTCAGTCAGTAGAGTGTTACCTAACATTCAGGAGGCTGTGGGGTCAGTCCTCAGAACTACAGAATGCAGGCATGGTGCATACACCTGTAAGCCAAGCGCTTGTGGTGGAGGCAAGCTCAGGTGTTCAAGGTCATCCTCAGCTACATACTGCATTCAAGGGCCATATGGGCTACATGAGACCCTGCCTCAAAATAAAAAAGAAAACAAGTGAGTTCTTTATTTTTATTATTTAAATTCGAAGTATAGAACATTATATTTGGGGTGCACATGCATAGTAAAATAATTACTACAGATAAGCAATTTAATATATCCATCCCCTTACCTACTGTATATGTGTCGGACGCTCCGACAGGTACGGCACAGGGGGAGAGGCCAGGACCGGCCTGGGTTCCTCTCTTGGGGGCTGAGCGGGATGGTGAGTGTTGGGGACTCAAAAACCACACCAAGTCGGGAGTCTTGTCGAGGCAGGAACTCACTTTATTGCGTCAGGCATCAACTTATATAGTTTAAGCAAAGAGGGTGTGGAAAAGGGGGTGGGTATAGGAATGTGTCATCTGGGGCAAAGACTGTGGGCCACTGGGAATTTACCACGCCAGTTATCATTGGGCAGAGGCGATCTTAGATAGGGCTCTGCTGAGTCACCTCCACACGGAAGTGACAGGCCAGAGACAGGTCGCTAAACTTTGGCCTGGCTTAGGAAATTATATTAGGCCTCATTTTCCTCCATGCCATGTGTATGAGGGTCCCAAAGGCCCAACATGTATGTATGTATCTGTGAGTCTATATGTGTGTGTCTATATGTCTGTGTGTGTGCTTGTGTAAGATCCTAAAATCTACCTTCTTAGCAAACTTTCAGTATACACAATATTAGCCACATGTTCCTACCAAGCATCAGAGTTCCACATGTAAGCATCCTACACAACTGTAGGTTTGACCCTTTGACTGTTTCCTGTCTGCCTTGCCCTTGATAACCACTCTTCTATTAGGTCAACTTTTTGAGATATCACATACAAGTGAGATCATGTGATGATTTTTTTTTGCCTGTATTTGGTTTATTTCATTTAGCATGATATTGGGTTCACTTGTGACAAGATCTCCTAAGACTGGATTTTGTGTTATGTGCTACATTTTCTTTATTCATCCATCAGTTGACATACAGGTTGTTTCCCAAGTTCGTTACTATGGTTACTGTTACAACTAACTGTGGAAATGAGTAGGAAGAGATCTCTTTGAGGAGGTTCATTAGTTACTTTTCTTTTGCTATAGTTTACATGGAGTTTTAATTCCATGACCAAGGCAACTTATAAGGAAGAGTTTATTTGACTTGAAGTTCCAGAGAGATAAGAGTTCAACATAGTGGGGAGACATGGCAGGAGGCAGCTGGGGCAGAAAGACGAAGACTCTTCAAGCACAGGCAGGAAGCAGAGAGAGCCAAACTAGAAAACGGGACAAGTCTGTGGACTAGGCTGTACGTCCTAAACCTCCTGTGAACAGCACCACCAACTGGGACCAAATATTCAAATACTTGAAGCCTGTGCTTGATAGCTTTAGTTGTCAACTTGACATACCTGGGTAGAGGGAACCTCAGTTGGTAAGCTGCCTCCATTGGACTGGCCTGTGGCTGTGGCTGTGGGGCATCTTCTTGATTACTGAGTGCTGTGGGAGGGCCCAGCCCACTGTGGGAGATGCCACTCCTGGGCAGGTGGTCCTGTGTTGTACAAGAAAGCAGGCTAAGCAGGGGCCAAGAGAGCAAGCCAGTAAGCAGTGTTCCTCCGTGGCCTGTGCTTCAGGTCTTGCCTCCAGGTTCCTGCCCTGAGTGCCTACCTTGGGCTCCCTCGGAGATGAACTGTGACCCAGGGACATGTAATGTATTAGTCACTTTTCTGTTGCTGTGATAGAAATACTGACCAAAGCAATTTATAGAAGGAAGAGTTTATTTGAGCTTATGGTTCCAGGGGTATTACAGTCTGTCATGGCAGGGAGGCATGGTGGCTGGAGGTGGCTGGAGGTGGATGTGGAGCTAAGCTCTCACATCATCATGCAGGCACAGGAAGCAAGAGAGCAACTGGAGATCCAGCAAGGCTTAAGAACTCTCTAAGCCCACCCCCAGTGACATGCTTCCTCCAAGATAGCCACACCTTCTAAAACCTCCCAAAACAGTACCACCATCTGTGGGCAAAATGTCCAAATACTTGGAGTCTATGGGGAACATTTTCATTCAAACCATCACATTCTATTCCCTGGCTCCTATAGTCTCATGACCATATAAAATGTAAACTACATTTAGTTCATTTTCAAATGCCCCCATAGTTATTACCAGATTAATTGCTATTTAAAAATCCAGAGTCCAAAGTCTCTTCTGAGACTCAAGGCAATCCTTTTAACTGAACCCTCCTGTAAAGCTAAAAGACAAATCACACACTTTCAGTACTCCCAACATACAGTGGAACTGAATACACATTACCATTCCAGAAGGGAGGAATGGAGGCATAGTAAGGAAATACCAGACCTAAACAAGACCAAAACCCAGCAGGGCAAATAAATCCAGTAGCTCCATGTCCAGCCTCTGGG